AGCAGAAGCAAGGCCTGAGGTCAAAGGAAGTTTGCTCCTCTTTGCAATGGAGATTCTCCACATCCCAGTTGGGAGCTCCTGCTGGGAAGCAGGCTTTAGACGTTGCCTCGCAATGGCACAGATGAAAGGGGGTTGCTCTGGACAGATGGAAGATGCCTAGCTCGGCCCCTTGTTGCCTCCTTAAGTGAAGCCTAGGGCTCCTGGCACATCTTAGTAGGCGCGTAATGTCTGTAAATTCAACCATTCCATTTGATATTTCTGGATCATAGTATCAGGGATCTAGAGATAGAAGAGACCTCAGAAGCCATCTAATTCAACCCTCTCATTTCACAAATGAGGAAACTGAGGCCAAGAGGGGAAGTGCCTTGCCTGTTATCACCCAGGTAGTGAGTGGCAGAGCTGCAGTTCAACCCAAGTCCTCTGACTTTGATACAACCTAGGTCCTAGATGATCTATGTGAAGTTCCTGCTGGAGCCAGTATATTCTCAATGTAAGATAGTGAATGGTGCCTGAGGACTTGTCTGGCTAAGTCTGGAAAGAATCACTGCTGTATTGACCACATAAGATGGTGACTATTTCAGCCACAGAAACTCTGTTATAGAGGAGTCGCAATCTATGTTGATGGAGGGTATGTACATCCACACTGATCAATTCAGTTTAAAAAGCATTGATCACCCACTGTATTAGGCAGTGGGGATAAAGATCAATCAGCAAACATTTATTAATCTCCTATTATGTGCCATGCCCTCTGCTAGGCACTGAGGGGATACTAAGACCCTACCATCAAGGAGCTTGCCATGGATTTTTAAAGTACAGTAAAGACAATGGGCAGATTTTTAGTTTCTATTAACAACAAAATATACCCCCAGTAGGTTTGTTCTAGTTTCTTTTAAAATTCCATTTCATTCAAAAGAGTGCTGCGTTGGAAGTCAGGAGATCTGGTCCTGCCATTAACTTGCTTTGTGACCTTGGGCAGCTCACTCTCCATGTAAGGCACATTTTTGTCCTTCTCTTTAATTGAGTGCCTGCTATAGGAAATGTACTAACAAATAGCTCTAACAACTCAGGCTACCCAGCAATAGAATGGGTAGGCTGCCTGATGATTGAGTGCTGTCCCAAAGTAGAACTGGGGGGGGGGTCTGCTTCCAGAGCTCAGGCGTTCCTCATCCCAGGATGGGAAACGGAAACTGGTGAGCATTTGTCAGTGACACTGTAGAAGGGATACCTGTGTAGGTGGGGCTTGTATTAGGGGAGTTTTGAAGTCGTATCAGACTCTGGGGCCCTGAGAGAATCACTGAATCTGAATATTTAGAGAGCATCTATTCCAATGTCCCTATTTACAAAGGAGGAAACTGAGGCCAGGGAGGGGAAGTGATTTGCCCAACACCTCATAGGTAGTAAGTGACAGAGCCACGTTTCAACCTAGGTCCCCTCACTCCAGATTCAGGGCTCCTTCCACTACTACCCCGATCTGGATGAGGTGATTTCTGAGATTCCTGTTAGCTCTGGTATTCAAGTATTCCTAATGCCTCATTCCTGCTCCTATGGCACTCTAAAGGAAAGTACCCAGCCTGAAAGCTCCTAGACTTTGGAGTCTCTTAACTCCACGCGGTATCTATCAAGCTCGGTCCTGTGGGCACTCCTCAGGAAACATTTACAAACTGAAGGTAATGGGATAGAGAATCAAAGAGAAATCAGACTAAGAACATGGGCAAAGTCATTACCTTTGCCAGCCTTAGGCTCTAAGCAGCCACAGAGGGCAAAGAGGACAGGCATCTATTCATGCTGACTGCCTTCACGGTTGATGCCAGTTGCCCTAGCAAAATTGGTTCTATGGTATTTGACATCGATCACAAAACAATGCTGCGACATAGCATAGCCTGCTATTGGCATGACTCCATCTGAACAAAAATGTCTGTTTATCAGTTTAATAAGATGGAAATGATCTGCATTTTTATTTCATTTTTATTGAGTTTTGTGTACCAGAGAGGTAATGGGGGCACGCTGACAGCCTTCATTTCCCCTCACTAGCAAAGAGAATAATTTTTTAAGTAAAATTCTCAAGGTAAACTGCCAAATCAGTCTTTTCAAAAAGACTTTGCAGAAAGCTCTCCCTAGGCCATTTAAAATGGGTTTTTCCTATTGTGCCACATTGATGGATGGGGCGCTAGTTATTTGTTGAGCAAAGACCAAGTATATTAACTCTGCAATGGTCTGCTATATCTAGGATTGGAGCAGACAAGCAATCAAGATGAAATCGAGATTCCAAATAATAGACTGCATTTGAAAAGCTTTCAATATCTGGAAAAGTAATTGGGAACAAAGTTGGTAGCTGGTAGTCCCTTACTTTTGGGAGTTGACAAGAGGTCCCCCACCGGTTGGCCATCTGGAAGAGACCTTAAGACATCACAGAACCAAGCCCCTTATTTTTCAGGTAGACACTGAGGCCCGTGGTGGCTAGGTGATGTAGTGGACAGAGTGCCAGGCCTGGAGTCAGGAAGACCTAAGTTCAAATGAGACCTCAGGCACTTCCTAGCTTTGTGACCCTGAGCAAGTTACTTCACCTCTATCTAACAGCTTCTTCATCTGTAAAATGGAGCTCATACTAGCATCTAGCTTGTGGTGGTATAATAATTGTAAAAGGCACTTAGTACACTACCTGGGATTTAGTAGACACTTTGTTCCCTTTCCCTTTCAAAGTGTCAGAACCAAGATTTCAATCCAGGTCTACAGAGCCCAGATCTAACAAATATTCTTTTCACTGTAGCCTATGTTTATTTTTCAAATTAAAAGTCAAGTAAAAACAATTCTGTTTGGGGATTTAAGAATTTTACTGTTTCTTGAGATAATGAGATACCCTCCGTTTTGCAAAACTAGGTGAGGTAATCCTTGCTGTAAATATCCTTGTTAGAGGTATAAAAAGATCATGTTTTGCTCCCAGGCAGAAAGTGAGTGCATAGCAAAGCCAGGAATCCTAAGGCTGTTGGCTTGGACATTTCTCTTTCCCAGGGTGAGGAATGAGGAGGTGTCATTGAATCTGATTTGGAAGGGAGTTCAGAGGTCATCGCATACAAGCCCTGCCAAATGCAGGAATTCCTTAATAACAGCTCACTAGACTAAGAGGTCAGTGGTAAGAGTGTCTTTAGGTGATTTGCCCCCAAAGTTTCCTGATTACAGGCCCAGCATGTGGTGCTACCTGCCTCCTAAAAGATCCCCAACTGCCTCCAGTGAACCTCACGAGGCTGCCCATTCCATTTTGGGGACAATTCTAATAACTCAGGTTCCTATAGAACTTTAAGGTTTGCAAAATGCTTTGTGTAAGCTCTTCTTGTAGCGGCAAAGACTTGGAAACCAATGGGGTGCCCATCACTTGGGGAATGGCTGAACAAGGGGTGGTATAGGAATATGATGGAATACTATTGTGCCAGAAGAAATGATGAAGATGGTTTTGGAGAAACCTGGAAAGACTTGTATGAACTGATGCAGAGTGAAGTGAACAGAACTGGGAGAAAAATTTATGCAATCCTAACAATAGAGTCAAGATAAATAACTTTGAAAGACTTTGGAATTTTGATCAACACAATGGAACCAATGACAGTTCCAGAGGATTCATGATGAAACAGACTACCCACCTCTAGTAGTAAGATGATGGACTCGAGAGGGCAGATTGAGACATATTTTGGGGGGAACATGGCTAATGAGGTAATTGGTTTTGTTTGACTATGTGTGTTTATAACAAGCTTTGTTTTTTTGTTTGTTTGGGGGGGGGGTTTGGCTAGGCAATGGGGTTAAGTGACTTGCCCAGGGTCACACAGCTAGTAAGTGTTATGTGTCTGAGGCCAGATTTGAACTCAGGTCCTCTTGAATCCAGGGCCGGTGCTCTATCCACTGCGCCACCTAGTTGCCCCAAGCTTTGTTTTTCTTGCTTTCTCAGTGGGGAGCAGGACTAGTGGTGGTGGGGGGGGGGGCGGTGGGAGAGAAAGATGAAGAGAGAATTTGGACCTGAAAATAAAATAAAAATGACTTTTTTTTAAAGAAGTGCTATGCATACATTGTCTTACATCTCAACAACCTTGTGAAGTAGGTTCCCTGGGAAGTTAAGTGACTTATTCATGCTTACCCAGTCAATAAGTGTCAGAGATGGGGTTCGAACCTGGGCCTTCCTGACTTCAAGTCTAGCTGTGTACTCACTAGGCCATTCTGCCTCCTTGTTACAAAGTTGTGATACTGAGCTAAAGCCTGCTCTCTTGCATTTCTTTAGTCCTATTTCTGCCTAGTACTCTTCCATGGCATCCTTTCAGATATTCAAAAGCAGCTCTCACATCCTTCTCACTGCCTACCCTCCACCCCAAGTCTTCTCTTCTCTAAACTATTATGTTTATAACTATATAAACTTCTCTAAACTAATCCCATTTCTTTAACCCTCACAGGATGTGGTTTTGAATCCACCATTTTGGAGGCCTTCTTCTTGACATGCTTTTTAATAACCTTCCAAAGATGTAATACCCAGAACTTAAAAGAACTGGACTGAATTAAATCATGGAAATGGCAATTCATAAAATCCAGAAGCTGCAAGGGGCTCTAAGAGGCACCTTGTCTAACTTTCCAGCCAATGCAGAAATTTCATCTATAGCCTCCTGGGCAAATGCCTATGCACCCTCCAGGAGCTCACTGGTTCTTCCATCCTTCGCCCTTAGAACCTCTGGTGAGATGAGATTCAATGTGACATCTGTTCGGACCTAAGTTGACCCAACGCTCAGTTTAGATTCTGTTTACTCTGTATACTGTTTCAAATCAAACAATGTCTCCTCATTGAATATGAGATATCACAAACTGGTTAGAAAGCAGAAAACCCCACTTTCCTCATTCCCGAAAGCTCCTAACCTGGTTGACTCGTCGGGGTACATTTTATGCATTCTTGATAGTTGGTTTACAGGAAACGCCTTGTTCAGCCCCAGCTAGAGGTGAGTCTGTACAAAATCCCCTGTTGCCCGCCTCAGCCGGCACTGTACCTTTCCCACACCAACTCTGGGACTGCTAGATGCCGCCGCATGCTTTCCCGTCCCCAAGGATCTTGTTACGGCAGCGAATTAAGGTAGGAGAATCTGGGCTCTGGCCATGGGGAGGGAGCTTTTGACCGCACAGCTGCCCACCATATGGTTCCCTGTCAGAGTGACAATGGTCAGAAAAGGCAGTTCATGATATTTTATGGTCGATTAATGACCCAGCTGGGACTATATGGGGCTTCCCTTCCAAGGAACACTCGGGTCTTTACAGATAAACACTGCAGAAAACCAATCATGTGAAAACACACACAATTGGTCGAGTTGGAAGGGACCCCAGGACCATCTGGTCCAACCAGTACCTGAACAAAATCCCCTCTACAAACACAGCTTCATAAATGGGCTCTCTCCAAGGTCCCTTCCAATTCAAACAAATCTAAAGCCAACCCCCACATTTGACAGAAGGAAAAAATCCAAGGCTCAGAGTGATAAAGCAGTTTGCCTGAGGTCACTCAGATCAGTGATGGCTGAGCTGGGACTTAAACCACAATCTCCTGCCTGCCTCCAAGTCCAGTGTGGTCTTAATGAAGCCAAATAATGAATCTGTCACAGAATGGGTTTAAAATTCAAAAGATCTACTAAGTTGGTTGAATAAGTTAGACAAACATTTTGAGCTGCGTCTTCTAAGTAGTATATTTAGTGAGTTGCAGATTTTGTGATCTGCATGTTTATTGTGGGTACCTCCTAAATACTGGCTGGTTCATTTAACTGACATTAATTCATCAAAAAATCGAGTACCTACAAATACAAGGCAATGAGCACTGTCTAGTGTTATCTTTATGACTCACTCAACAAGCATTTAGTAAGCACTTACTGTATACCGAGCACTGTGCTACACACTGGAAGAGACGCAACATTTTGAAAAGATATAGTCACTGCCCTCATGGAGCTCAAGGTTCTACAAAAGGAATTTGATGTTGGGAATAGGCTTCTGTTATAAATTATGCATCTGAACAAAAATATCTTGGAGGTGGGAAAGGGGGGAGGTGTTACCTCCAGGAAGATCTGCTTTGGTCTTCCATTGATTCTTGATTAGATTTTGATTTGCTAGGGTTGGAAGGACCCTCAGATTTCTTTCTTTCTACCTCATTCCCCAGTTTTGTCTCTCCTGTCCTAAGTCTTCTTTTTTATTGGGGGGGGGGGCTAGGTAATGGGGTTAAGTGACTTGCCCAGGGTCACACAGCTAGTAAAATGTCATGTGTCTGAGGCCAAATTTGAACTCAGGTCCTCCTGACTCCAGGGCCGGTGCTCTATCCACTGTTCCACCTAGCTGCCCCTTCTCTTTCCTGTTCTAGACTTGACCCCTTCCTTTCTCTTTTTCATTGATCCATCTCTAAATAATTAACCCATAAAGACTTCATTTCATAGGAGAAAATCATAGAATGTTGGAACTGAAAGAGAGCTTTGAAGTCATCTTGTCTACCCTGTTCATTTTCCTGAGAACCAAACAGAGAGAGACAGACAGACAGACAGAGACAGAGAGACAGAGACAGAGAGAGAGAGACAGAGACAGAGAGGAAATGCCTTATCCAAGGTCACTTGGCTAGTGAATAGCAGAGTCCAGAACTGACTTCACATATTCTAGCAAAGTGTCTTTCAAGTCAGTATTTCCAGCCTCCCCCATGGTATGAAGAGATACAGCTAATAAATTACCATAAGGCATTCTCTACTTTCCAACCTTTTAAATTCAATCTTGTATAGATTTTCTCCTCAGAGATCCACTCCCAAGGTAACATTTCTAGAATAATAAAAACCAATAACCGACATCCATGCCTATATCATCTCTTCTAGGGTCATTTGACTTAATGTTCAGGGCAGGGCTTGTTTTTAACCTTTCTTTTAGATCTTGCAGAAGATTTGTTCTCCAAACCTTCCAAAATGTTTACTTTGTGGACTACGGCTACCCGTTTCTCCTTGAGAACCTCTCAGTTAGCCAAGGACTGAACCCATAAACTCATGCCCCGAGGGAAAAGGGATGCTGATGCCTTTGCCACCTCTAACTGTGCACCTTGGTCTTTGTGCCTGTAAAGAATGCCCTGGCATCTAGCAGAGCTGGGAGAGAGGTGGCAATAGTCCCATGTTGATGTGATTGACAACAATTTGTGTTTCAGTTACAGATCTCAAGGGAATAGGCCTTAGAGGCTAGAAAAAGCCTGCACTGAAGATACTCAAGCAAATAAGGTAAGCTGAGTTCTTAGGGGTAAAAATTCTGAGAATTCATTTCAATTCAACAACCATTAGGCATTTATTCTGGGCCTGGCCCTGTGCTAACCACTGGGAATTCAAAGACAAGAGCCAAACAGTCCCTGCCCTCAAGGAGCTTACTTGTAGAATACACCATGTAAACAGGTTAATACATACAGGAACACCAGAGAAGGGAGAGAACATTTTTTAAAAATCTGTTTATTGTTCAGAAAGCCCCTTGTGCTTTTAGGGCCTTGAAAAATCCTGATCTATGTTAGTTTTAAGGTTTTGACCTGAGAGGCTAAGAGGATGACTCATTCTTCATGGGTGCCATTCTTCATGTCCCATCTAGTTCCATCTCTGCCAAGTGCTCCGTGTGGGGGGGAGTGGGTGTGTGTGACCTGAAGCAGATGCCTTCCTCCTTCTGAGCCCCAGGTGCCTAAGTAGTAACAGGAGAGAGTTGGACTAGATGTCCCTTAAAGTCCTGTCCAATGAGTCCCTAGATCCTAGGGTTTGGTGAAGAGGGTGGGATCCTAGGTGGAGTCTAAGAAAGCAGACTATTTTGGTCTCTTCAACCAGGAATAACAGAGTGTGGAAAGTATTGCTTATCTTGGAAATCAAAATCATCCTGTAACCAGCCTGCTTGATTATCCACAGAATCCCCAAAGGGCTTTTGCTTGGCTCCAGTTGTACTGCGCTCTTCATCCATTTTGGTCCCAAACATTTGGTTTGGAGAAAGATGCCTCTTCAGAAGACCCATTGCTCCTGGTAGATGCACCTCAGAATTGTGTGACACTACATTACTTGCCCTCCTGTGCCAAATAAATGCCTTTCCTGTCTAGGGTTAGCCTAGTTGCTTTCTACTCCCTTGTAAGGCATCGATTTGTTTTCCTCTGTCATTGTTTGTCAAAGTCTACAGAGTCAGTTCCTTTGACTGGTTAGATTTTCACCAGAGCCATTACTAGGCATTCTAGTGCATGTGGTGAGCTTGTTTGTGGGGGAGGGGGGAGCAAGAAAGAGGGAAAGGGTGGGGAGGAGATCTGGAGATAGAAAGATCTTAGACCTTGAGACCCAAGGGCCAGTGGAGGAAAAGACCCAGGACAAAGGCCCAAGGGAGGGTGGGGACCCAAGGACAGGGAATCTAGACCCAAGGACAACTCCCTTCTCTGCCCCACCCCCCAGGTGGACTGGGATAGTGCTACTGGATAGGTTGCCATTAGAAGGAAAAGGGCAGTGCTAGGCTGGGGAAAGCTTACCTGAAGAGAGAGAAGACCTTGGGATCTCACCTGGACATCCTCCAGAGAGCCCAAGATTCCATACCGAAAGCTACGGCCTCTTCCAGCAACCCCAGGAAGAGGCAGAGAGGAAGGTGGCAGGCGGTGAGTATGGCAGTGGGAAAGGCAGGCGTGCCCCAGTGCTAGAACCCTGGCAGTACCCAGGGACCAGGGAGGGAGCAGAGGTACATTCGTTGCATGGCTCGGGGCCAATGGGCCAATGGAAGGGAAGAAGCGAACCCCTATGATGTTGGTGCCCTGGCAAGAGTTCCTGTTTCCCTACTCTAGTTTTGGCTCTGCCTTTCATTCCTGCACTGGTCATTCTTTAACCATCTTCCTGGTGCCCCAGATCAGTACCTTTCTCCTCGCCGGGGCTATCAGCTCATTCTCTAGAGCTGATTCACACTAGGAGCCAGGGTGAGTTATTAGCACACTGACTTAGCTAAAGAGGGGCTCTCTAAGTGGATAATATACTTGTAAATAAATCTGCTTCTAGCTTCTACACTGAGCTATCTGTTCATTCTACCATAATCAAATAGAAAACTGGTTCTTGACATTTTCAATTTTGTTCCTAGGCATTGGTAATGTCAGCCAAGATGGATGAAATGAAGAAAAGTTCCCTCCGGCTGACCAGGGACAAACAACAGCCTATAAAGACAGAGTGGAGCTCCCAATATGTCCTCTTCACTTACTTTCACGGGGACATTAACAGCGTAGTTGATGAGCATTTTTCTAGAGCCTTGAGTAATACTAAAAAGCCCAAAGAGCTGAGCACCCAGGACAGGAGTGAGGCCGCTAGCCCCACTAGTGGTGAGTGCGTGTATGGGTCTGTGGGGCTGGGTGATTGGGGTTGCCCCAGTACGGGATTATTACCAAGCTCACCAGATTTCATGGTTGGCCCTTGCGCCCATTGTACCACACTGCCTTCCACCAAGGGCTCACGTTGGCTTCCAATCCAGTTCTGGACTTGGGGTTTAGAGTTGGACAAGGTGAGATTCCTCCAAAGAGGTGACTGGAGCATGGCTCCTCTTCTAACATACCACTCTTACAGCTGCTATTCTTCTGGTAAGAATTTTCTAGCCAGGTAATGCAGTAATTTCCTGAGAGCAAGTAGCTTGAAGAGGCACAGTAGATAGAAAGCTTGTCTTAAAGTCAGGAAGATCTATGTTCAAGTCCTGCTGCTGACTGGCTCTGTTACCCTGGGCAAGTCAATTAACCTCTCAACGCTTGAAACTATTCTTTAAGACTAGATTTCAGAGTAGTGGCATGGTGGATAGAACGCTGAGCCTGGTCGTCAGGAAGACTTGAATTAAAATTTAGTCTGAGACACATACTAGCTATGTGTCCCCGGGCAAGTCACTTAACCTCTGCCTGCCTCAGTTTCCTCATTGGCAAAATGGAAACAATAGTAGCAACTACCTCTCAGGGTGCTGGTGAGGATCAAATGAGCTATTTGTAAAGTCCTTTGCAAACCTTAAAGTGCTATAGAAATGCTCACTATTGTGGCTGGTATTATTTGCATTAGAAGAGGGAATTTCACTATTGATGGTGAAATCGATGGGGACATCAGAGGTATCAAATGTGTGGCCCACGACATTTCCAAGTGCTGCTGCCACCACCAGAAGAAAATGTAATTGAGAAATATTTAACAAAATAAATAAAAATATACCATATGAACATAGAAAATGTTAATATCATCGGGATGTAGCCAGAGAGTACCAGAGAGTAGTCACTATATAAATGCTTATTCCCTTTCTGTCCTTCATACCCTGTACCAGGCACTGTGCTAAGCACCTTACAATTAGGATCTCATTTGATCCTCACAGAAATCTTGTAACATAGAGATAATGCATTGTACCACTGGCCGCCTCCACACTTTGACCTTTCGTTCAGCTGAGCTGTATAGTTTGTCGTTAAAATATGAAGTCTTTCATACAAATGTGAGGCAAGTCATCATATTGGGAAGAAGGGAGCTCCAACGGATTGTTGGCGAGAGGCAGAGTAGCGTGTTGGAAAGTACATTGTACTTGGAGTCCCAAAAACTGTGTGACCTTGGGCCAGTCATTCAAACTCTATCGACATCATTTTCCTTATCTACAAAATGAGAGGGTTGGGCCAGAATCGAGCCTCTCAAACTGGCCCTTTTGGCCTGCTTTGCCTCCCCCCTCCCCAAATATTAATATTAGGCCGCCCTTTGTTCAGATGAGAGGCAATGTGGTTGTCACAGTAGCGTGGTGCAGTGCCTGGCACATAGGAAGTTTTTAATGAATGCTTTTTCTCTCCTCCATCCATTCATTCACTCTTTTAATTTATTCACATCCTGCTTCCAGCACTTACTATCTCTGCAGCCATCATCATGGCATTTAATCTCTCCGAGCTTCTGTTTCTTCTGTAAAATGGAGAGAGGAATACTTAAAGAAATGTGAGTTCAGAATTTGTAATCAAATGAATAGGTCTTTGGGAAAAAGAGCCAAGATGGACAGAATAGAGAAGCAGCTGCATACGGTAGGTAGAAAGAAGGCTGGCCCTGAATGTAGAGAGGGCTTGGGGGTTGAATTTGCTCTTCTGCCATGAGGCCAGGTGCTCCAGTTCCTACTCCCCTTGGAACCTCAGAACAATCTCTGAGGTCCCGTCTAGCTCTGAGACAATTGTCCTCTACTATCTCTGAGCATCTAAACTAGGGATTCTTGAACTTTTTTTTTTTTTTTGCATCATGAGCTCTCCTGGCAGTCTGGATAAACCTATGAATCCCTTCTCAGAATCATGTTTTTCTTTCTTTTTCTTTTTCTTTCTTTCTTTCTTTCTTTTTTTTTCTTTCTTTCTTTCTTTCTTTCTTTCTTTCTTTCTTTTTTTCTTTCTTTCTTTCTTTCTTTTTAGCAGTTGGGGTTAAGTGACTTGCCCAGGGTCACACAGCTAAGTGTCTGAGGCTAAATCTGAACTCAGGTCCTCCTAACTCCAGGGCTGATGCTCTGTCTCCACTGTGCTACCTAGTTGCCTCAAGAATCATGTTTTTCAAAACATAAAATAAAATGTATAGGACTGCCAAGGAAACCAATTATAGGGAAATATGGTTACCAAAATACACATTTTTTTTTAAACTAAGTTCTAGGACTCCAGGTTCAGAACCCCTACTACCACATGAGATAGTGTGTGAGAAATGCCAGATGAGTAGTATAAAGAGGAGAAAGATCACTGAAGGGAGAGTGGCCAGGAAGCCTGCCTGGAGGAGATGGGATGCCACCTCACTGCTCTGATTAAATGTAAGTCAGGCATGGAAAGCTGATACCACCTTTTCTAAGCTGGGGGTTTTATTAGTGGTTCCTAGAATATCAGAGATGGAGGATGCCTTCAGGATCAGCTCAGTCCAACCTCCTCATTTTAGAAAGAAGGTCATTGTGGCCCAGGGAAAGTGACTTGCCTAAGGTCACACAGGGTTCGAGTCCTAACTCTAAATTCCTAAGCAGTGCTCTGAGATGGGCTTTCAGAAGCACCTGCTGACACAGGACACGTTCTAATGATATCCAAAGGAACCTTTACTGTAGCTTATGATCAAGGCCTTCCCTTAATGAAAGTGATATGGCAATTCTGGCTCCTGGGTTAGCCTGTGGGCCAGGCTTACTGCTTTGTAATTGTTCTTATTCAAATTTCAATCCGAGGTCTTGTCCTGATCAAAAAGTATGCCTGACTCTGGTAACTGCCCAATACTAACAGAACTTTAGAGCTGGGAGGGACCTTAGCAGTCTAGTTCAACATTGTTGTTTTGCAGAAGAGAAAGTTGAAACCCAGAGGTTCAATAACACCTCATAGGTGCTTTTCAATGCATTACCTCGTTTGATCCTCACAACAAACACATTAGGTAGGCACTATTATCCTCATTTTTCAGATCAAGAAACTGAGGAGGTTGAGTAACTCGTCTAAGGGAAGTGGCCAAGTCCTGACTAGAACCTAGACCATGAGGCTGGGGCTTCTAATGCTTCTCAGTCTCCACAGCCCAGCCCACTGGGCTGTGGCAGGAAGGGGCCCCCATGTTGTTTGGGGAATGAATGCAGGGGGGAAAAGCAGAAAACGCCTATCCAGCCAAGCCAGTCCCCTTGAGCTTTGGAGGAACTGGATTTTGGCCTCTGGGTCCGCTGTTAAGATTTAGTAACCTCTTGACTCCTCCCTCTAACTGCCTACCCTCACCTTAAAGGCCTCCCAACACACACACACACACACACACACACACACACACACACACACACACATATCCGACACCGGCTGCATGACCTTGTTTAAGTCTTTTAACCTCTATGGATCTCACTATCTCTAAAGTAATAAAATACATTAAACCCTAGTTCACAAAGATAGGAGAGTGAGTCCCTATAGAAACAGAATGTCAGAGTGGAAACAGACCTTAGAGCTCATCCCATCCACCCTCCTCTGCTTTGGGCAACATGAGTGAGGTGCAGTCCAGAGTTATTGCTGTGTCTACTTCGTCTCACAAACCTTGCAAAACTTTCCTTTCTAGACAATCAATTGCATCCAGGTCAGTGGAGTTTCAACTCTCACTGCTCCAAGCCACACCAAGAATTATCTCCTGTCAACAACGGCCTGGCCAACTGCGCTTTGAACGTGTCCGTCGCCCAGGACTCATCGCCACTGATGGTTGCGAGCCCTTCTCCACAGCTTGGAGAGCTGTGGCATTTATCTTCTTCTGTAGCCAGCCCAAGTCCTGCTGAGCCTGGGTATCCTCCCTCCTTCCCTAGTTTCCATCTAATGCCGGGAACTGAGCGTGAGAGGAAATATGGCTCCCTTCTAAATCTCCTACAGCAAGATGGGTGCCTGGTGGACCCCACGCCGCCAGCCAGGAAGCAAGCCAGACATTCTCCCCTCGGCACTGGAGCCCCGAACATGCACCCCACTGGGTCTCCCAGCCCTGATGGTGGTAAGGAAATACCCATATGTGATTTCGTGCTGAGGAATAGTTAGCATGGGGGAGGGAAGCAGGCAGAGATGCCCATCTCTGTTGTCACTCTGGAAGCTTCAACTAGTCTGGAACTGTAACTAGAATGAGGTGAGCAGGGCTTTGCCACACGTTGCCAAAATGTAAAGAAGCACCAACAGCACTTTCAGCCTTTCACCAACACAGGAGCCGCTGAGTTTAGCTACTAGTTAGCAAAAGTAATTTATGAAACTAGGAAGCTAGAAGGTGGCAGCTTTGATCCCCCATTTCAGCCACACCCCATGGGAGTTCTTCCCCAGTCCATCCTGCTCCTTACCCCACTCCATCGTGGTGGTCTCTCTAGCAGTGGCCTCACGATGTCCTGTGATCTCTGCTATGCCACCCCCCCAAAAAAAACTGAATTAAGAGAATGCCTTGTGCTACTTACCATAGTGCGATAATTGCTAAATTATAATCTGAGATTTCTCATACACTCTTACCAGTGTGGGCTAGGGGAGAAAATAGGCCTTCAAGGGCTAAAGAATTATTGAGAAGGTCAGCTGGGCTGAAATGGCCAGAAACATTTGCCCCAGTCTATACATTAAGCCTTTCCTTACAACAATGGCATGGAGCTGAATGTAACTTGGGAAACAGCCTAGGATAAGTGTCAAAAGAAGCAGTGCTTAGAAAACCAGGTTTCTAGTCCTGACTCTACCACTAATTATTTGGAGGACCTTGATCAAAGCCTTCCACTGCTCTGGGCCTCAGTTTCCTGATCTGTAAAATGAGGAGGTAGACTAGAGGCTCTATAAAAGGCCCTTCCCACCCCTCAATCCTATGATTTGATGATTTTGTGACCTTGGGCAAATCACTCAAATGTTCTGGGCCTCAGGTTTTTTGTTCTAGAAAATGATAAGTTTTGTTTAGGTGATTGCCAAAGAAAGTCCCCTCCAGCGCTACCATTTCAGTATGCTTGGCAATGCATCACAAAGTTAATTTTTGTTAAAATACGTAATGTGATTTTGGGACACATCTACAGAAGGAAACTACATTCTTAGAAATAAGTTGGACAGCTTTAATGACAAGGCCAGACTCTTAGATGAAAAAGCTGGGGTGCAATGCATAGAAATCACCTGAGGGACCCAATTCATAGCCCCCCCAACTGCTCCCTTTATATTCCACCCCTTCAGGGGATTCCTCTACTACTTTTCTGTAGTCCCCTTCTCCCTAATCACTGTCACCCCTGCCCACAATCCCTTCCTCACTGCCATAAAAATGCACTGGCCCATCCTGGCAAGGCCTTCTCTTGCTCAAGGACTAGGGAAGACTTGGCCTGAGCTAAGGCTAAGGGGGAGGCAGTGGAATGAACATTGAATGTAGAGTCAAAGGACAAGTATAAATTCCAGCTTTCTCTTTTACTAACTGTGTAACCTTGGGTAAGTCACTTCCCTCTGGGCCTCAGTTTCCTCCTCTGCAAAATAAAGGTCTTGGACTAGATGGCCTCTGAGATCCCTTCCAGCTTTAGAGCTGTGATGCTGGAAATACCGCCCTATTCCTCCCCACCAGTATCCTAAAGGAATTCCTCCCTTCACACAAAGCATTCTAGCAGAAGTGGGCACCGCTGCCACTGTCCATATTATCCAGCTGTTACCCAACATCAGTGTTGACTGGGGCCTCCTAGTCCAGTGTGAGCCTTCTTGGCACACCTCTTAAATCGCTAAGTTCAAGAAGCCAACAATGATATCTCTGACTACAAATGTGTCTGGAGGATGAGAAACTAGACACGAGGGCCAGGAACAGAAGCCCCCTCACTTTCAGAGCACTGGCTAAGGGGGAAGAATAGTGGGCAGTCAAAGCAGCGGGGCTGACCATTCCTGGCAGCTGCCCATCACAGTCCAGCTGGGCACTGCACCTCCTCCTCACGCAAGATCTATTGACAAACCACCTCTTTTTTTTCCTCTCTTAGGGAACAAATCAGGTTCCTTCCAAAGCCTAGAAAATACCAGCACCAATCTTGGTAATGAAAGTAGGTATCTGAGCTACACTTGCCTGGGGTAAATTTACAGAGAATTCTCAGTGCTGTTAAAAGCAAACAGACAAAAAGCTGAAGCTGCTTCTCCTGCAACCTAAATAACCAGGGCTTTCTTATTTAGAAGAACATGGCATTCCTGAGGAGCCCTTACACTTTCCAACTAGCACAAATTCCTGTTCCTTCCCCTTCCAGGAGTTACTAACAGGCTTTGGTGAAGGAGACAGCCGAATTCGCTCAGTTGGCTGAAGTGAACCAGCCCAAAGCCCCAAGGGGGATGAATGGTTGTACAGGAATTAAAATTCTTAGTCCCAGATGTTCTATCCTTTGCTTTGCTTCAAGGACCACCCACAACTCTGCTGTTGGAACAAATGCCCATTGAGGCTGAACGCCAAAACGATTGGTTACATAAAATGCTAAAACGGAAGGTTCTGAAGCAAGCCCACTCTGTCTGCATGCAATGGGATGGAACGGGCACTGGATGGGGACTGAATCTGAGTTCTTCTACTTATCATTTATGTGACCTTGGCCACATCCCTTTTCATCTCTGGGCTTCGGTTTCTCTCCCTGTAAAATGAGGTGATGTAGGGCAGCTAGGTAGCAAAGAGGATAGAGTGCTGGGCCTTGAGTCAGGAAGTCTCATCTTCCCTGAGTTCAAATCCAGCTTCAGACACTGCCTAGCTGTGTGACCCTGGGCAAGTCATTTCACCCTGTTGGCCTCAGTTTCCTCATCTGTAAAATGAGCTAGAGAAGGAAATGGCAAACCACTCCAGTATCTTTGCCAAGAAAACCCCAAATGGGGTCAAAAAGAGACAGACACAACTGAAATGACTCAACAACGACAAAAATGAGGGGATGGGATTAGATGGTCTCTGATATCCCTTGCAGTTCTAACATTCTGAGGTTCTGCCAAGAGGCTAATCAATCAGTCAATAAACATTTATTAAGCACCTACTCTGTGCCAGGTGCTAAATGCTAAATTCCACATGTGTATTGTAACATACCTAAGTGCAAAGGGGGCATAGCTTGAAGGAGTGTTCTGAAGAGGGTTGATTTAATCACAGAAGGCTTCTTGATGAAAACAAGTTTTATGTAAGCCTGACTCAAACTGAGATCCCCACATTTAACAATTCTTTTTGTTTTCTTTTAGACATAGAAACAAATGCTGTTTCTCCACCCAAATCTGACAGCCCAGGGTGTCCTGGTGAAGTTAAAGGGCTTAAATGAGAAAATGGGCCCTTGTCAGAGGCCGGTGCATACTGCGGTGGGATTTCAGCATTTGCTTGGAGCCAAAATTGCCAAATGAGCTATTGTTATCATGTTTTTCAGGAGTCTCCCTCCAGGTAGAAGACAAGAGTTGTCCTTTTATCGACTGGATACTTCAGTTCTGTCTTAGTGAAGATAACTTTTTCCCATAGATACACATGGGGAAAAATAACATAGAACTGTGCATCCAGACGACCTATAAATCATCATGTTTTTCTTTCATTTCTGCCATTAAAGACCAAACTCTGGAAGCAAGCCCCTAGTCTTCTGCAAATTGTTTTCTTCTTTTTATTTTCTTCATATGCTTAGACTAGAGTCACAGCACTTAGACTTGTTAGCACCCTCCCAGGGTCCAAAACTCAGAGGACCTTGGAGGCCACCTCATTTAACACATACCTGGACAAGAGTCTATAACATGCCCAATAGGCAGTCACCCGAGGTCTGCTTCAGGACCTTCTGTGATCGGGAATCCCTATATGACCTTTGGAGGCATGCCAGTCCAATGTCCAACAGCTTTGATCAGGAGGAAGTTTTTTTCTTCCATCCAGCCTAACTCTACTTTTCAGTGACCTTCAGCCTTCGCTCCTAATTCTACATCCTGGGGACAAGCAGAGCAAGCATATTCTCTCTTTTGCATACTTGAAAATAGCTATTCTGCCTCTCCTAAGGGTGCAGTGGAAAGGGAGCTGGAGGCAAAGCACCTGAGTCCAAATCCTAGCTCTTCCTCTTACTACCTGTGTGACCTTGGCCAAGTCACTTGACCTTTCTGGACCTCAGTTTCATCATCTGTAAAATGGGGAGGGGTATCCCCATCCAGCTCTGAACATATGTGTCTTCTCTAGGTCTGCTGTCCCCAGTCCTTAGATATTCTGTGATGTCCTCCCCATCCTGGTTGTCTTCCCTCTGGATACTTTCTGGTTTATCAATGTCTTCCTCAATTGCACCTAAAACTGAACACGGTATCCCAGGGCAGAGTACCACAAGACTCCCTGGCACCTCCAGTGTTCTGGACACGTGGCCTCTCAACGCCCGTGCCTTCTCTTGTTTCCAGATGAATCTGTCTAGCCCTGCCTCCTCAATCTTGTACTGGAGAAGCCAAGCCAATTTTTTTTAAACCCAAGTTTAAGACTTTGTCTCTGTCCTTATTAAATTTCACCTCAGATTCAGCTCAATATTTTGTTTGTTAAGCTCTTTTCAGCTCCTGCTTCAATTATCTAGCATGTTAACTATTCCTCCCATCTTTGTGTCTTGAGTCAATTTGATAAGCATGTCATTTATGGCTTCAACCAAGTCATTGATAAAACTGTTCCGCAGCTCAGGGACAAGCACTGATCCTGGGGTACTCCTGGAGAGATCTCTTTCCATGTTGACAATGACCCATCAATGGCTATTCTTTGAGTCCAGACATGCTATCAGTTCCAGAGCGACTTAATTATCATAGTTTAGCCGAGATTTCTCCACTTTGTCCACAAGAATATCAAGAAAGATTTTGTCAAATGCTTTGTTAAACTAGAGGCAGTGTAATTCAGTTGAAAGAAAACTGCTTCTTTCCAAGCCAGAAGACTTGGGTTCAAAGCCTTCCTCTGTCATTATGTGTATGACCCTGGCAAGTCACTTGACTTCTCTACACCTCAGTTTCCTCACTGTAAAATGAAGGAGATGGACTACATGACTGTTAAGGTCCCTTTGAGCTCTAAATCTATGGGTCCATGATTCTATAGCAACAGTATTCTCAGGGTCTACCAAGCTAGTGATATGAGGATATGAGGTTGGTTTGCTATGGCCTCTTCTTGCTTGTGATCGCTACTCCCTTTTCTAGACATCCACTAACCATCCCTTTAATAACAAGTGCTAGAATTTTTTTGCCAGGAAGCCTGTTAAAGTTCACTAACACATAGTTTACAGGCTAGACCCTCTTCCCTTTTCCTTTTTATTACCCTATTTGCCCTTCTATCACACAGTGCACCTTCCGTTCTCCAAGAACTTTCAAAAATCACCATCAGTGGCTCAGTAGTCACATTCACCAAGTCTCCAGACCCAAAAGTGACATGGTCCTTTTTATGAGATTGTCCCATTTTTCAGTATTGTATCCCCTTAGTTCTGGCCCTAACAATTAGCCAGAAGGTCTGTTCTTATGTGTGAACTTGGATGGATCCTTGAGTATTTCGAACCTATCTCTATTCCTCCACAGAAGAGCTGCCAGAAAGTTTCAATTCAATTCAATTAATGGTCTGGCAGAAATTTATTGAAAGTAGCTACTGTGTGCTAGGCACTGTATTAGATTCTAGGAGTACAACAACAAAAAAAGGAAATAGTTTATGCCTGCAAAAAGCTTACATTCTACTGGGGTGGGGGTGGGGGTGAAACAGCATATATATATATATATATATATATATATGTGTGTGTGTGTGTGTGTGTGTGGTGTGTGTGTGTATGTGTGTGTGTGTATGTATATGTATATGTATATGTATACACACACAAATAGGTGAATACAGAGCAATGCTAGGGAAATTTCAAGAGGGAGAGAATGCTAATGGGAAGGAAGGGGAGGAATCAAGAAAGTCCTCCTGTAGGAGGTGATACCTGAGCTGTGATCTGAAGGAAGCTGGGAATTCTTTCAGACAGAGATAAGAAAGGAGTGAAGTTTATTTCTTTTTTAAATTTTTTTTAAATTTTATTTTGTTTAATTTTTTAACATGTGTTTTTAAAACTTTGGGTTACAAATTTTCTCCCTCCCTCCCCTCATTGAAAAGGCAAGCATCTCAATACAGGTTATAGATGTGTAGTCATGCAAAACACCTCCATAGTAGTCATGTTGTGAAAAACTAAGTATATTTCCCTTCATCCTATTCCACCCCCCATATAGTCTATTCTCTCTTTTGATCTTGTCCCTCCTTAGAAGTGTTTGCTTCTGATTATCCCTTCCCCCAATCTGCCCTCCCCTCTATCAACCCCCTGCTCTCTTGTCCCCTTCCCCCCTTATTTTCCTGTAGTGTAAGACAGATTTCCGTACACAATTGAATGTGTATGTTATTCCCTCCTTAAGCCAAATCCTATGAGAATAAGATTCACTCATTCCCTCTCATCTTCCCCCATTTCCCCTCCACTTTTGTAAAAGCCTTTTCTGGTCTGTTTCATGTGAGATAATTTACCCCATTCTACCTCTCCCTTTCTCCTTCTCCCAGTATAATCCTTTCTCACCCCTTAATTTTATTTTCCAGATATCACTCCTTCATCTTCAACTCACTCTGTGCCCTCTATCTAGCTATCGAGCTATCTATACATACGTATAATTTTTTCCCCTCCTACTACCCTAATACTGACAAAGTACTCATGAGTTACAAATATCATCTTTCCATGCAGGAATGTAAACAGTTCAATCTTAATAAGTCTCTTATGATTTCTCTTTCCTGTTTACCTCTTCCATGTTTCACTTGAGTCTTATATTTGAAAGTCAAATTTTCTATTCAGCTCTGGTCTTTTCCTCATGAATGCTTAAAAGTCCTCTATTTCACTGAATGACCATTTTTTCACCCTGAAGGATTATACTCAGTTTTGCTGGGTAGGTGATTCTTCGTTGTAATCCTATCTCTTTTGCCCTCTGTGTGCCTTTTTAAAAATTTTTTTAATTTTTAGGCTAGGCAATGGGGTTAAGTGACTTGCCTAGGGTCACACAGCTAGTAAGTGTTATGTGTCTGAGGCTTGATTTGATCTCAGGTCTTCCTGACTCCAGGACTGGTGCTCTATCCACTGCACCACCTATGGGGGACAGCTTGTGCAAAGACATAAAGGAAGAAAATGGGTAATTTCATGTATAGGAAATACTTACAAAATAGAGGGTGTGGAAAAGGGGAGGAAAATGAAATAAAGCTGAAAAGAGAAGTGGGTGGTGTCTCTGTTGCTGAGGGCTTTAAATGCCAGGCTAAGCATTTTGTTTTTTATCCTAGAGACAGTAGGGAGCTATTGAAGATTTTATTGCAAGGAGTCGCATGATCATATTTATATTAAGAAATATTAATCTGAATTTTGATTACATTAAATTAAAAAGGGTTTGCACAAACAAAACCAATGCAACCAAGATTAGAAGGAAAGCAGAAAGCTGGGAAACAATTTTTTTACAGCCAGTATCTTTGATAAAAGCCTCATTTCTAAAATATATAGAGAACTGAGTCAAATTTGTAAGAACATAAGTCATTCCCCAATTGATAAATGATAGAAGGATATGAACAGGCAGTTTTCAGATGAAAAAATTAAACCTGTCTATAGTCATATGAAAAAATGCTCTAAATCAGCATTGATTAGAGAAATACAAATTGAAACAACTCTGAGTTACCACCTCACACCTATCTGATTGGCTAATATGACAAACAAGGAAAATGATAAATGTTGGAGAAGATGTGGGAAAATTGGAACACTAATGCATTGTTGGTGGAGTTGTGAAATGATTCAACCATTCTGAAGAGCAATTTGGAACTATACCCAAAGTGCTATAAAACTGTGCATACCCTTCAATCGAGCAATACCGCTACTAGGCCTGTATCCCAAAGAGATTGTAATAAAGGAGAAAGGACCCACATGTACAAAAATATTTATAGCAGCTCTTTCTGTGGTGGCAAAGAATTGGAAATTGAGGGGATGCCCATCAGTCAGGGAATGGCTGAACAAGTTGTGGTATATGAATGTAATGCAATACTATTGTGCTATAAGAAATGACGAGCAGGCAGATTTCAGAAAAACCTGGGAAGACTTGTATGGTCTCATGCTGAGTGAAATGAGCAGAACCGGGAGAAAGTTGTACACAGTTACAGCCACACTGTGTGATAATCAACTATGATCATCCAGAGAAAAAGCTGTGGAGTCTGAATGCAGATTGAAGCCTACTATTTTCCTTCTTTTTTTTTCCATGGTTTTCCACTTTCATTCTGATTCTTCTTTCACAACATGACTAATGTGGAAATATGTTTAATATGACTGAATATGTATAACCTATATCAGATTGCTTGCTGTCTTGAGGAGGAGAGAGGGGAGAGAGAGAGGGAGAAAAAAACCTGGAACTCAAAATCTTATAAAAATGAATGTTGAAAACTATCTTTACATGTAATTGGGTGAAAAAATAAAATACTTTGCGGGGGAAGAAATATCAATTTGGCTGATGTATAGAAGCTGGATTAGTAAGGGCAAGGGCTAGAAGTAGGGAGACTATTTAGGAAGCTATTACAGTTGTCCAGGGAAAAA